TACCATGGCAATATTTACAATAGTAATTAAATTGCTGTTGCTATGGCGACAATTTCTATTTTTCTGGTAAGGCTATACCAGTGCTTACGTTTAAGTAATGTGACAGTTTCATTTAATGAGATTTATTGAAATAAAAAAATGTGAATGAATGTCTATTAGCGGAAAGTAAACGGAAACTTTTTATCTTAATTACCTTTAGTTTTTACTCTTTGTTGATTCCAAGAATTTTTTAATCTTTGTTTAGTGATTGCTGACTTATAACTCCTCTGAGTACGCTACTCTTTGGTAATTACTATGGCTATCAATTGCTGTGTTATGAACGCTTTTCGTTAATATTTTATTATTTTTCAGTATCAAAATCATTATACAATGTTTGGTATAGTTTTTCAAATTATCAAGATAATAAAGTAAAATGTCTTTTATTAATGATCCTGTTTTAAATATTATAGTAGTAGGTTTTCACCACAAAAGGGGCTGTCAGGTACGTGTGTGGGCTTCATAACTTTAATCGATTATATTTTTTCAATATCTAAATATAAAACTTAATAATACTCTTAATATATACTGAAACAAAAGTTTTTTGCATATTACATCTGTAGAATACTTTATGCCATGCATGTTTTAATATTTAACTACGTATTACAATTACAGAACTGATTATTTTTATTTCAAATCCTGGTTTTTATTTGAATACCATTGTATTGGTTGTGTAAAATTTATAAGAAAAATTATGTACTTATATGATAACATTTGCACCATGTTTTTGGTAACAGGCCTTGCTCCTGAATATTACGATATTTTGGCTTACCTTGTGTTTTAGGTAGAGCATTGTTATCCCGAGTTGATACCTGGTAAACCATGCGAACTGCCTGTACCATGGCGTCATCTGCCCGCTCTAGCTTTGCCAGATGGATCTCACAACTACCTATCTGACACAATATTCTTCAATTTACCCGGCCTGTCGGAACCTGCCCATACAGTTTATGGCATATCATGTTTTCGACAAATTCCAGTAGAGGTTGGCTATTCACATAATTTTTTTCTGATATAGCTTTGGTGGACACTATTTTTTTAAAAACATAAATAAACTATTTAAGATTCTAGAGTTCTTTGCTACTTGATTTGTAAACTTTATGTGAACACCTATTGGAAATGCTGTTAGCTAAGTTAGCTAATAGTAACCTAAGAATTGAGTTTTACAAAATATAACTTTTAACATTAAAAACAGGAAGTTGTCCAGAAAACAGAAGACATGACCCGGAGTTCAGTTCAAAAGAGTGTATGTGTAGTCTGCCGTGCACCTCTCTTTGGTCGGCTTGCTGTGAAAATGGAGCTTGTTGTGCGAGCTTGGTTCCTCCAGGGTGACTTTTCTCAAACAAAACTTCTTGAAGATGCATACAATCATTTAAATAGTTGCCCAGTGCAGATTGATCAAACACTAGAAGGTATGATTTTTACAATTTATTTTCAACATATGCTAAATTAATCTTTTATGTCATAAAACTGAGTGGTATAAGCCCAGAGAGATGATGAATGTCATATAACCCCAATAATAATGTCATATATCAATTTCGATATTACAGAAATTAAATCTTGTAAGAGACAGACCGATGTAACTCTTCATTGCTATGTCAAATCCATGTTTTTTTTTTATTTTCCAAGTAGCTTCAGGTTTTATAATAAAGAATTCCCTTGTAAAATTTCATTTCAATCTGTCCCATGATTTAATAATGCACAAACATTGATTTTTTTATTGTATAGAAGCTTTACTAAACAATAGATGATGTCATAAACACTTAAAAAATGTAATGATTACTGTAATCTCTATCTGATTAATTGTGAAAACATGTTCAATAAATATTTAAATATAAGGTAGGTTGTTAGTGCTTTATAAATATCTGATCTATATCTTTACAAATAAGGTTTCATGTCATTTAATCCAATTGTGACTGGTAGTACGTAAAAAGCAGATAATAGTATCTGTTTTAGAGTTTATCACTGGCACACTACTATCAAACATGTTTCCCTACCCTTGATTTAAAAGTATTATTCTGTATATTTTATGTGTGGAAAATGAAAAAATCATATTGTAAATTATCAATTATGAAACTTTTTTCTTTTTTCAAATTTCTACTCTTTTTAACAAATCTGTATACTTTCAGGTTTATCAGTTCAGAAATTGGTAGAAAGTTGGAAGCATAAAGCGTTATTATTGTTCAAATTGTTATTGTTGAGACGTAAAGTACTAATTTATGGCTCGCCAGCTGGTACACTGTCTGCTGCGCTCTTGACCCTGGTGTCATTGTTGCCACATTGTTTAGAAAGTGGACTATCCCTTGCTGCTAATGTTACGTAAGTTATTCAAAATAAATCATATGTATAAGCTTTTTAGATCCTAAATGTTACCCAGTGAGATTCGACAGTATTATTTTTTAATAGTGAAAACAATGTAATATAAGAGATTTATGTGTTTCAGGCTTTCCAGGCCTTTATCTCCAATACCAGCAGAAATAGAGTGTAAAATAGAAGAAATTGACTCTGCTGTAGTAGCTCATAATGAACCTTATTTAAATGGAATCACGCAACTAGATGAAGAGTTGTCACCCAAAGAAACGGGTAATATGTTGGAAGAGAAGGACAGAATAAGTCGACAAAGTTTTGATGAAACAATACTCACCGATGTCGTGGATAGGCAAGATTTGTCAGCGGGCAGGGAGAAGTGTCACAGCATTGGAGAGAAATACAAGCCGAAGTCGGTCACGGAAGCCCAACAGAGTCCTACGATGGCTCGGGACATGAGCGTGGACGGCCTGTACAATCTGACGGGACAAATAGATCACGCAGAGTGCGGTCTTCCGTTACCTTTATTCGAGGATGGATACCTATGTTTGCCATATTTATCATTACAATATTTAGATTTGTTATCAGACAGTGCTGTAGAGGGATTCGTGGTGGGAGCTTCCAACGTGTTGTTTAAACAGAAGAGGCAGCTGTTTGACGTTCTGGTTGAGGTGAACGAGATGCGTATAGAGACGGCAGACCTGGCGCTACGCCGGCAGCTGACGCTCGGCACCGAGGACCTGCGCTTCGCGGACCACGTGGTGCGTCACGCCGCCGCACAGGGCGACGCCTGGATACGAGATCAATTTGCTAGTTACTTAATTTATCTTCTAAGGACTTCCTTGTTACCAGGTAATGTAATAACCATGTGCTTACTAATAAAAAGTGTTCATAAAATATTGCTTCATGTTCTGTATATTTCTCATTGCAGAGGGTAGCAGGGAATTCGACTCGTACAACGCTCAATTTATGAATGCTTTAAAATGTACGCCGGCTTACCAAAAGTGGCTGAAGACAACCAATGAAGGGGACATCCATAACTTTATAAACCTTATGCCCATGCATCCATTTTCGGGCCAGTTGTCTGTTGCGGATATGAAATTAAAGTTTGCACAGTAAGTTAATATTATTAATATATCACGTTGTAATTTTGACAAGAACAATTTATGTTTAACTTCCGTTGGCGCTCTCACCCTCGCATATGTTTGATCCATTCACCCAAATTACATTCTGTATTACAAATAATTGAATATATTTGTATAATAATTTCAGCACCATGTCAACAACGGAGGGGGGTCGTAAGGTGACGGCGGCGGTGGCGACGACGGGCCGCGCGGTGGCCACCACGTCGCGGGCGGTAGGCGGTGCACTATCGCAAGCGCGCGGTGCGCTCTCCGGCTGGTGGTCTGCGCTCACCACAACTGCACCGCCTGCACCTCATGCTGACATCGCGGCACCTCCCGAGCCCGCCGCACTACAAGTTGATGACAAGCTGCCCGCCTCCGACGCGGAGGACGTCGTCGAACAGATAGAAGATGACAACAGGAAGGAACCCCTCACCGACAACTCCGACCCCCCAGACAAACTGATCGAGGAAAGTACTAATACCATTGCTAAGATACGTGTTGTTTGAATCTAGATACGAATTTAATGTACCATATTGTTGAAATGTTGGAGCAGTCTTTCATCCATTTTTATTTTATTTTATTGTTCTTTTGTAATTTCATTGACTGTCAAATATTATTTTTTACAAAATAATGACATTTTTTTTAAAATCACAACCTCCTATTTAACATGTTTTTATTTATATTCATGTTCCTTTTATTGTTTAGTTATTACGTATTCTTTAATATGATTTGTTTTAAGTGTTTTGTATTGGAATTATTTATTGTGTTGTTAATTAAGAGAATATTAATTTGAATAGTATCCATCAATATGTTTTACACTTACATTTATGTATATGAACTGCATGTTATAAAGAAATATAAATGATGAATAAATAGGGAACCATTCGAGTATCAGAGATCTGAACTAGTTCAAAACATAAACAAGGTAGCTAATCACCGGGTTTGAGGCTATGGTAAAATTTCATTGGTTTTTGAATAATAAAAAAATCATTCCACTAAAAGTGATATTTCCAATCGTGATAAATGAAGAATCTGATATTGTAACTTTCCAATATTAGTAGTATTAATATGGAACAATATTTTTTTGGTTTTAATAAAATTTTGTGATGTGCTTCCCCGTTGAGTTATGTGATTATTATTTTAAGTAGAAAATGTAATAATATTTATTATAGGATTTGTGATCTCTGATAATACTTATTAGTTTGTTAATCTTATGTTTTATACTGTGTAAAATTATATAACTTGTTCTTTTGAGCCGATCTGTAAATATATGAGCAACGGCTATGAACAAAAACTACATTTTGTTTGTATATGAATGGAGGAGTAACTATATTTTTACAAATTCGTAGCGATTAGTTAATTTATGTAGAATTATGAAATTGTTAATGTATATGCAATGAGTCAAAGTAGTCAACCTTAGGTAACATATAACTTAGGTATTCTATTGAAAACTGTGCTTAAATTTGTTTCAGACTTTCAGCTGATAAAACTCAGAATAAAAATACAATATTTATCATTTTCTTTATTAATGAAATTAATTAGCTAAATAATCAATTAATTTTAAACTAATACAAATGTATTAGTTACACTGGAAACAATAATACCCTATCTAATTATAAAACTATGTACTTAAGTACACGTGAGCAATTGCGAATGAGATGTCACTTCTCCATTCCTTGTTACAAGATGAAAGTGCACTTGCCAGCTGCCAGTCGACTGACGTTCTTGTTCTGCCGTCGCAGTTTATTTTATCGAGTGTTGAAAGTAGAATAAACTATTAAAAAGAAATGTCGTTTCATTTTTTTATATCTAAAGTATCGTATAGCTTTAAATCAAGTATTCTCATTGTCAAAAATGTACTATACCTATTACAATGAGCCATTGATTGCAAGTCAATTATCAATTAGTAGTTGTAGTAATCATTTGTGTGATATTCAACTTTTAGATCAACGTATTTCATAGTTTGGACAATGTAACTATTCACCGTAGCTGCAAAATAAGTACTCGGCTTTCACATAGCTAAATGCAAAGTAATTGGCCAAGAAGGCGATTGTCGATGCTCTGGGTTCACACCGCAGAATCCGGCTCGTCGTCCCAGGGCCACGGCGGTCCGGAGTCGAGTGCGTTCTGCCGCCACAGGCCCCGACAATTTTCCGACGTGCCGTGCGCCAGCAGGTACATATTGTACGGCTCCACCATATTGGACAGAGACGAGCTACTGTCCTCGCGCGCAACATGGAGTTTTGTATTCTTCCCATCGCCAGATTTACATTCGGGGAGATGGTCAAACTGGACCGTACATTCCCGAGGCGACTCCAAGTCGGTGAGGTCCGATCGAGGAGAGAAGTCCGTGCTGGCCGTAATGTCCTGCAGGCTGCGGTCTCCGCAGTCGACGCCTATAAGCTTCTTGTTGGGCGAGGTGGGGCAGGCGCGCGACTGCGAGGAGGAGGCGAGCGGCGACGAGTTGGAGGTGGAGGAGGCGGAGATGTCGCGGGGCGGGGGCGGGGGCGCGGCCGGGGAGCTCACCAGCGGCGCAGACTCGTCGTCGCTAGCGGTCTCCTCGCGTGGCGGACTACGCTCTCGCGACCCGTTGCCGCGCGACATAATTTTGTCCTTGAAGCGGGTCAGTCGCTCGGCGGATCCGACCTTCTTCAATATTTCCGCCGTCCTCTTCAGGCTCCTGAGCTTGAGGTCGACAATCGGGGAGCCGGTGTTGGTGGAGTCCTCGACGGAGCGAGAGCGCGCGGCGAGACGGTCGTCGAGTTCGCGCACGTCCTCGCCCGACACGAGCAACGAGGAGGGGCGGGAGCGTGTGGCGGCGGGCGGTGGGGCGGGCGAAGCGCGGTAATGCACGGCGGGTCGGGGGCGCGCGCTGAACGTGATCTGGCCGTCGTCGGAGTCCTCCTCGTTCTCGACGTTGAAGGTGACCGCGGGCGGGTCGGCGTGACGGCGCGTGCGGAAGCTGCCGCCCTTCAGGATGGAGGGGTCGCGGCGGGTGGCACGCGGGGAGCCGCCGGCGCTGAGCCCGCCCGCCCACGATGCGCCGCTGCGCGCCAGTCGCACCTGCATCTCGCTGCCCCCCTCTGCAAGAAACAAGCTTCTGAATAAGCTCAGAGAAGGTGTCGTGTAACTCGAGTCGCTGGACTCGCGTCTCGGGTGAACACTTCGGGCTGCGAGGAGGCGGTATTTTGCTACAATAAGTGGAACTAAAATAAAACTTCAAGCTGTCGATTGTATAATTTTATTCGGCACCACTGACCAATATATTTGGAATGATATCGACTTTTAATGTTATCTACGGCTAAGGGAACGTGTAGGTATGATATGTAAACGTTTACATTTAAAAATTCTAGATTGGAACTTAACATCTATATACCTACGTAATACATTTGCGCTAAACCACAACACACGTAACAATTAACATTAAATACTTTTGTAAAATATCTATTTTTATCTAAGGCATGATATGCTTATACTCTAGTAATGTCTTTTACATTTATTTTCAGGCTTTCGAGGACTTTTAAGTACTTACGTTGAATCAGGATAATCTTTACTCCTTTATTTCGTTTAAATCGAAAATATTCTAGCTACAAAATTTTCAAATAAATTAGTATTGGCACGAGGATTCTATTTGTGGTTTGGAGGTTGTGTGCGTTTCTCACAACCGTATGAAGAGGCACAGCCAAAATAAAATGGCCACATTAGATAGTTATCTAAACATGGTTAGGAATGCTACAAGATGTAAATCACAATTTCGCTACAATAATCTAAATCAATCTAATCTATAGCGATACATTTTTTCCATCAATATGGCACAACACATAACAAATACTTAGCATTTTAATGAATATGAGTTTAATATACCTTATTACTTGCTTTATTTTGCTGTTTTTCTCGATATATCACAATAAAAAATGTAGTCATAAATATGACATTAATAATCAAACTATTCTGCTTAAAAAAAAAGGTGAGAAAATTACAAAGCAACAGTTTGACAGGGCCGAGTCACAACACTCGAGATTAGCACATCATTAGCAAACTACAATCAACATTAATATTCAACTACTGTAAATATAAAAACTTTAAATTAAAACTACACTGTTAAATAACTAATGTATGAAATAAAGCAAATTATTGCGTGCGAAGGCAAAGGCCACTGCAGACAAAATGCGTAATGTGCTGTTATTTAAAAGCAAAAAAATCTTCAAGTCGTGACTCGTCCTCGACACAATAAATTCAAATATTATCTAAATTTGTTACATACGATTTGATTGATGCCCATAATTGTATATAATGTCACAAATATCACATATTTAATTAATTTAAGTCATAAGTACCTTTCATTATTACAAATCACAAAATTATATTTGTGCATAATTAAATTTAATCACATAATCAAAGAGCAAACTAAGAAATTAAAAACTAAAAAGCAATAAAACATGCTTCAATTAAAAAAAATATATAAAATTGATAATGGCAATTATTATTAATAATTAAATGTCAAAAAGACGAGAAGATCGTAAAGGCTCCAAAAACTTCGTCTTTCATTCGAATTACTCTAATATAATAAATAATTTTCACGAAAGTAATAATTTATCTTTACGGCAGTTTTAAATTGTGAGTTAATTTAGCCTATATTAGGGATGCACTTTATTATTTTAGTTTTGAAAAACATTTTTTTTACTTGTGGTTTTATAATCTGCTTCCACATTAGGAAGAATATTAATTTCTTCACCATTCAAAGATCCAAATTTCTACCATATAGCAAGAACAAATAGAATTTAAAAGTAATGTGATTTTTTAATAAATCGAATAGCTACTAACCAGTAGCTAAGATAGGTACAGCTAAGCTTCTTCTTATTTTGCTTCACTTCATCGTGTCACCTATGCAAATGCACTGTGACTTTTATTAGCAAAATTGCATTAAGAAATGTGATTAAATATAACAATCCGAAAAATAAGCCAACTCGGATTCGCTTTAGGACATGTACGCCCGGACAAATTTATGTTCAATAGAAATCGTGCATCCCTAATGGGGCAAGTAATGGCTACATATCCCAGTTCACAGAAATACATCGTCGGCGACGTTGATGACGACGTGTTCGTCGTCTGCGGCGTGCGCGGGGCGGGGCGCGGAGTGCGCGGGGCGGGGCGCGGGCGAGTGCGGGGGCGTGGCGCGGGCTGTGCGGAGGGGGGGCTCACCTGGCGCGGGCGGCGGCGCCTCCTCCGGAGCCTCCTCGTCCAGTGTTTGCAGCGCACCGCAGATCATCTGCTCCTCCAGCGTCACCTGCATCACCCACACACAATGTAAACACACCACACAAGTCGCACGTTGATTTACATCGCTAAAAGTTGTAAAAAATGTAAGAACATGTTTGCATACAGGTGTTTCAACAGTGCAAACTCATTGTATCTAAAGCTATGCACTCATGAACAGAACAAAATGAGATGACAGAAAACGGGTCGTAGAATCTAAAGTAAGGTATAATAAAGTGATTAGAAAATCTATTTAATAGTCACGGTATTTAATTCCATCACAACTTTTGATTGAATGATATGACAAAAAACATGTTCCAACAAATGTTGATTTTTTGTATCTGTGTGTGGGAGATATATTACAATGCTTATTAAATAAGAATGTACACGAACACTTCACGTGGCACTTCTCGCTTACACGATGTGACGTCATGGCTACTAAATCGATTTTTTTTTAATAATAGAATTTATTTCCAATGATAGTACCGTGTAGTATCAGTGCAGTGAACTCTAGTGCTACGTGCGAGTGAACTATGCTGTATATGAACAGAAACAAAACTATTTTATAATCACCTGATATTCCGTATAAAGCTGCAAAACGGAATAAATATCAGAAAAGAACTAGTAATCAATTTTATCACATATATTTATAAGACAAAGCTAATTTTTATTTATTATTTACGTTATAAATACATAAAACTATGTATTACCTGTTTCTCAACATTAGTAGGTCGACTGCGTTGATGTTCTAGACGAGGCTTCACTGAATCTGTTTCTGTTTCCGCAGACTTTTCGGGAATCACTGAATATCAACAATATTGCATTTAACATCCAATTTAAGTGTAAAATAAGTGGACTAATACAATAAAGATTTAAACTTTATGGAGACTGCTTAACTACGAGCGCGTGGCCACGCCCCCATAACCTTTTCACCCGCCCCAATTTCTTTTTACGCCCCACAGATTTTTTAGTGTTCTGTGTAGCCTTTTGTGCTGTTTGAAACGGCAAAAAAATTGTATGTAAGTATACTTACCAGCAACTGAGGGCGCGTTGAGCGGCATGCCGGCCTCCAGCTCGCGCAGATTTAGGATAAGCATTTTGAACAACTCCCAGTCGCCGAACGGTAAATCTAACAACTGAGAAATACAACAAAAACATATTTCTTTAAAATAGTTCTCTATTAAAATTAGTGCAGAAGAAACAGATAAAAGAATAAGGGTATTTTTGTGATTTAAGATAGTTCAAAATCAAGTCAAGGAATCGAACATGTGTTAATTTATTTTATTTGTGTGTGTATTTATTACGTTTGTTATGTTTATCGTACCGGTTTGAGTTCATCTAGACGGCAGGCGGCGAGCACGAGTCCGCAGACGTGGTGTCGCTGCAGCGCGGCTGCGGCCGGCGCGCCCGCCCCGCCCAGCGCCGCGCGCACCACGCCGCACGCCCGCTCCACACTCAGCGACGACAGCCGCACCGACGTCACATCGCCCTGTGTACCGCAACACCGTGCTTCTTACATCTCACTCATATACACAACTACCTGTACCTCCCGACACTTAATAAGTAGCCTATGTGTACTTACACACTACGTTTTACATCTATTCAGAAATACGGCGCGATTTATACAGCCATTCTGGAAATACCTTCAAACAAACATCCATCCATCCAATCATTCCCATTTATAATATTAGTAAGACGTACTTTATATCTTAGCCTTACTAGGCTACTTAGGCTTAGTGACATTTAAGTAACAGAATGTATGGACTTATCAATTATTTGCAACATTCCTACATTTTATGTCAATCTAAAATCTAAAAAATCTAATTCTAAATAAATGATAAAGTTTAAAACATCACGTAACTAAAAATATTACAAACCAAATTGGGAAATGCAGTCTTGAGCAAAGCAATCGGGTTTGGTGCCAACTGCGGCATAAAATGCTGCATGTTTGTCATTTGAGGTATTTGCGGCATGTGTGGCATTTGGGGCACTTGCGGTACTTGTGACCCGTGTGGCAGCTGCGAGTACTGCGTGCTGGCCCACCCCACCCACACAGGCGGTGCCATAGAGCCCGCGCCCACACCGCTCACAGGTGAAATTTTCTGTACAAATTAAAACAATGTAACTCTCTGATATATGAAGTCTTAAAATGATAGAAACTTAAATTTTAATGTTAGTAAATATTACCTTCTTGCCGGGCAGTAATTTGGAATGTGGTTGTCGTAGGTTCTGCTGTACCCACGGCGCTGTAGGCATCACCTCGTCCTCCGCGCCCATCTGTAGCTGTTCCTCTGCAAACATACAGCAAACATTATTATTATATACTCCTATTTAGTATTGTATCTCTAGTATCTTAATTTGTAATCGAATTTAATAGAAATAAGAAATCATTACAAAACTATCATAAACAATTTTTCATGTAGAAGGCTGTAACCACAGACTTATTAAAAAAAGAAATGTTTATATTATCAATTTAAGCACTAAAATGTTCCCGAGTAATTAGACGATGAATGAATGATTCTCATTTCCAATGATTAATTTTGATGAATCAATTTGAGATGAAACAAAATAATCAATGTACAGATTGTAATAGTAAAATGTATTTGACCTTTGATGACCTTCTTGATGTAAGGGTCGAGGTTGATGGTGAAGGGCAGGAAGATTTTGAGGTCTGCGGCGGTGAGGGTGCTGCGGTGGAAGCCCAGGAACACCTCCAACTTTCGCTCATCCCGGTCCAACTCCGTCAGCGTGCCCGCCTCGTGCGCGTTACTGAGCGACGGCTTCACCCTACACATACAATTATTCAAATATTTTTTCAGTGTGTAATTTTGGCAAATTGTATGAAAATTACAAACAAAAAAGAAGTAAATAAAGTTGATATGCTTACCAAAGTTAAATGTCAAATTTTTATTTATAATAAAAAAAATACTGTAAGATTTACTTTTCAAATATGTGCTTGAGTGGAGTGGCATCGTCAATGTGCTCCTCGAAGGTTTCGTGGTGATATATGATCCAGGAGGTGCGGTACGGCCACTGCTCCGTCAGGTTCACCCACGATGCAAGCTGGCTCCATGTGAACTCGATTTGAAAAGCTTTCAGCAATCGCCCTGTTATACATATAAAATATATGTTGATAAATTCACGTCCTTAGCACACCTTTGTTGCAAAATAAAAGTAACGTTATCGCTGGTGTATTCCGATCAAGAATAGGTTTACGGAATTTGAGTAGCGGTATTGAATATCGGAAGAAATTGATATCCAATGTATGAAAAAATGTAGTTTCGCTTTTATTTTTGTCGTCTGCCACAAATACGCTCGGAAATAATGGTGCTGCAAAAAAATGGCGGTGGGCACGCCGAGGAATGGATGGCATCAGAGCAAATCATCTGTACAGCGCGGGGAAAGAGATAGAATTATAATATAAGATTTTGACACAGAACAGGAAAATGAGCGCGGTTCCGCTGTTACGCACCAGTGATGTAGAGGACGTTCTGCAGTCGACGCATGCTGCGCGGGTTGACGTCGCTGAAGTAGTCGTCAGTGAGCAACACGCGGCCGAGGTCTGCGGCGGGCGCGCGGTGCAGCCCGGACGCCACGGAGGAGGCCAGCGACTCCGAGGGGCGCAGTCGCCGCGCACGCGCCGCGCTCTCCTTGCCCAGCTGACCCGCCTGCCCCACCTGCCCCGCCTGCCCCGCCTGGCCCTTGATGCGCTCCTGACTCGACATCAGCTCGGACGTCGATGATAGACGACGAGCAGACACCTAATGTACATAAATTCACTTAAAGAAACATGAACTATTTTCGTACATTACTAGGAAACTTTTTTTAATTTTTTTTTTAAATTTCTAATGAAATACAAGATTCATAGCTTATATTTATTTAAATTGAATCCAGTAAGCTATAGTTGATGGAGCCTAGTAGGCATATGGCTTATACTAGCAGTTGCCCGCAATTTTCTCCACGCAAAGTTATAAAAATTAATAATATATACGGCCTATGTCACCTGGGGTTAGTGTAGCTTCCCAACAGTGAAAGAAGTTTACAATTCGATTCAATGGTTTTGGAGCTTATTTAATACAAACACACAATCAATTATTATCTCTTTCTAAGTATGAGTAAGACTAACAGATCTCTGTAGAGATGTGGAGAAGTCCTCAGCGGCGATGGCCTGCATGCGCTTGGCGGCGGTCTGCTGGGCAGCCTTGACGCGGCGCAGCGCAGAGTTCTGCAGGTAGAAGGGCAGCTGCACCATGTTGCGCAGGTAGTCCCACCCGCCGATGTTGCTCTCAGAAAACGCACGCCGGCTGTTTATTTCTACCGCCTGGTCGATTCACACGTACAAATATATTCAATAAATACTCATCCCAATTCAAAATTCTTAAATAAAATACGACATTAAACATCAAGAAGTTAAAAGTAAAATTTATTAACAAAACACTTTTTAAACATAGATTAAATAAGTGAACAATACAACACAACACCGATAATATACAACATTCAAATGTACACAAATACTACGAACGCACAACTAACCTCAGTCCAAGCAAACTGCACACACAACTGACCTTAATTTTGCTAATTGTCACTCAAAAATAATATATATGTATGGATCTACAAAGCAATCTTTCACCTTATACTACTTGAAATATCTCCTTATATTTACTTTAATGACAGTAAGGGTTAACTTAAATTTCGTCTTAATATCATTTTCTGATGCAAACGAATTTATTTTCATTAATAAAAGAATAAGTTTCATAATACAAGGCGTTTGACACGCAAAAGAAAAAAAATGTTATCTCAAAGTCAATAACTCCTGCCTATATTATACTAGCGTGGTAGCATACCTTGCTGATGATGTGAGGGTCGATGGCGAGCAGCAGTATGAAGGGGCTCTTGGGGTCGGAGCAGAGCGCGTGCACGGAGTTGAGCAGCGCCAGCACTTTCTCCTGCTCGCAGCTGTCCAGCGCGTCCACCACCACCACCAGCCGCGTCTGCTGACCTGTAAACGCGTCCAGGCACGACACCTGCACACAACGCATAAGTATTGTAAACAAGATCTTTATTTTTTAGTCGAATTCTAACTTTCTAAAGTACTAGATGACTTGTGGATTACTTTATAACTTTATAATTATAATTTTTAAGTATAAAGCAGACAAATTCGGAGACAGGGGAGGGAACACACAGGAAAATGATATTTTCTTTTTCTAAGCTCTCCTTCCAGTGCCAAAAAGGGTGAAAGATATAGGAGCAAAATGAGGCCTCTGACAGGCCTTATCAGATTAAACGTGGAATCGCTCCCACTTCACGCCTGTCTTCTGTGTGCAATTTCCCTCAAAATGAATGTAAGATTGGTGTGAGTACAGTACGCACCATGTCAGTGAGGGCCTGCACCTCCGGGCGGAGGGAGAGCGCGTGCGAGTCGCGACGCAGCGCGCGCAGCAGACGGGCGCGCGGCGGCAGCACGAGGGCGGCGAGCGCGCGCCCCGCCGTGTACAGGTTGGCGAGCAGCGCGGCGCCGGCCAGCGCGCACGCCCCCACCACCACGCCCTGCTGGATGTCACGCCGCCTCATCGACGACGGCCCACTCTCACTGAGCCGCCGTTGATCGCACGCCACACGTACTCGCGCAGTGTATCTCACACGTATACGTTGCATATAAAACACCATTGGAGACATACTGGATACTTTACAATATCGGGTCAACCGATGTTTTTATTTCCGATCCCTAGTGTTGGTTCATTTTTAGTGTTTTTTTTTACCTACAGTCTATCGTTACTGAATGCTAATTATCCCTAGTGTTACACTATAGCTTACTGCTTGTCCGCATCGGTCTCGGTGAGGAACATGACGAGCACGCACAGGCCCACCAGCAGGCACGTGAAGATCACCTCGAACATCACGATGTGCGGGATGCAGCACGCGCGACGCCATCTGCAAATACCTCAGAATCAGTGGATGTCTCTACTACACGTTACAAATGATATTATAAACTAAACGATAGGTATAATCTTTCTAACGGTATTTACAAGTTTTTGTAATAAATTGCTGCGTCAATGTATTAGACGTGTACTTACTTCCATCCGGATGTAGAGGAGACAGGTCTCGGGCGGAAGGCGCGCGCGAGGCGGGTGCAGACGCGACCGTACTGGCTCTCGAGCGCTTCCGCCAGGCTGCCGATCATCTGCACGACCAGTGCCGAGCCCTCCTGACCCGCGCCGCTACGCATGCCCTCCGTGAAGTGAAACCTGCGCGACACAACAACGTTTACGTAAATAGTTAAATAAGATTTTCAGTGAAGAATTTTTGTCTATTAAAAAATGTTTCATAAAGTATTCTAACCGTATAGGCGTGGCCGGAAGCGCACGCGGGTCGTTGGGGCCGGGCGGATGACAGAACACGACTTGTAGCACCAGTAGCAGCGAGTTGAATCGCCGGCCCAGGGTCGACATCATGCCCCCCGCCCACCACCACTCATATCTAAATATTTAATACAACATAAACAATACATCGTAGAACAACGAGAAGGGTAGTTCAAAAGTATTCTCCTTAACATATTACGTTGGAAATTTGTGTTATGGTTTCTTAACAAACCTGGTTCCTAGGTTCCATAGTAAATAGAATATGAGGTATGCGGCGGCGAAGAGCGCGAACGCGAGTCCGACGGCGATGTATGGCGGGGCTCCGGCGAGCGCGGCAGCGGCGGCCAGCGGCAGCGCGCCGTGCCACGCCCCCCACGCCACCGCCCACGACCACGCCCACCCTGTCTCACTCCACTGCCGCGCAAAGTTTTTCATCTCCTCTGAAAGTAATACTTACAATGATAACATTTGTTTTGTACGAAATAAGTGGTTTATGATTGTACAGAAAGATTATTCAACATTTGTACGAATATCGACCTTTCAGTTTGCTGAGCAGGAAAGATTTGCCGGATCCCCAGCGCGCGTAGAGGCCGACGGTGATGGGCACGGCGAGGCTGGGCTCGGCGAGCATGTCCGCGAGCGCGGCGCTGTACAGCTCGTAGCCGAGCATGTTCTCGTTGTCCTCGCTGGTGTTGAGGCGACGCGCGCCGAACATCTGGCCGAGGATGGTCTTGTTGTAGCTCATGTCGATGTTGTACGGCGTCTCCTTCATCTTGTTCGGCTTGTACAGCAGCTGACTGTTCTTGGGGTTTCTCAGGAGGATTTCAACTATTTGCTGGGAAATTAAATCAGAATTAAATTAAATTAATTTCTAGAATATAGACATATTTTATATTACAAGGCGAGGTGGAAAACGAGCAAGCGTTCATTGAAATTGTGATTTCCCTTTAGTATGCGTCCTCCCTTACGTTAAATCTACTTCCCCTTCGTTTTAGAAAAGGGTTTGAAGAAGTGAAGGGAAAAGAACCACAATTAGGCCTACGGCACGGACACTCATTAAACCGGTTGAACCGGGCCATTAATTCAACAGATGTTATTGAATCCTTCAAGTGCAGTAAGATTATGATAGATTGTAAATGAGTGATGTGGGTTGGTGTACCTTTGAGCGTGCGCGCATGGCGATGTGCAGCGCGGTGTCGCCGCGGTTGTCGGCAGCACCAACACGCGCCTTGCGCTCCAGCAGCAGCTGCACCATCTCTGCGTGACGCGACCGCACCGCACGCAGCAGCGCTGTGTCTCCGCTCTACACACACAACAAAACATTCAACATATTACAAATCTTATATATATATAAAAGAAAGTCGTGTTAGTTACACTATTTATAACTCAAGAATGGCTTTACCGATATAATTGAAAAATGGTGAGGAGGTAGCTTAGAGCCAGGAGACGGACATAGGATACTATTTATTCATTTTATATATTCAGTATACTGTAATGATGCTATGCAGTTTTTAAATAAATAAATAAATAAATTTTTTTAATGTTTTTTTTTTCGAATTTATGCCATGAACAGCTGCTTTTTATTTAACTTACATTATTGTTTAGATGGATGTGATGTTGATGGATGGATGGGTATTTGAAGATATCTCTAGAACGTCTGAACGGATCTCGATTAAATTTGGCATATGTATAGAACATAGTCTGAAAGAACTTATATGCTATACTAATTAAGTTTCTTCATACATCACGCAGACGAAGTCGCGTGTGACAGCTAGTGTTATATATTTAATAATAACAAAGAAGAAAAACTGACTAAGATCATAATTTCGAAACATTCAAACCAAATAATTTATATTAAAATGCAAGAAATAAACAAACTGTAATTCCTAAGCTAACTTCTTATATTTCTAATTAACTTTATCTAATTTTACTACAATTTAAATTTATCCATGTACTTTAAGTTACAAATATAGCAAGTTCTGCAACATTTTATCTAGATAAAAGCTAGCTTTAGATAATAATTATGAACATACATTTACCATTACCACCTTCATACAATCTGTTGCAATATGTATGCAAATGATTTCACTAGGTTATCTAAACCAGCTCTTAGGTAAACGACAAAGTTTGCTTACGAGCTAATAGTACTATTTGTGCTACCTATAAATAAATATGCCCTTTATAAAGAACACTATTAAGAATCCATTAACATTATCTCATATAGATATAATTTTATAATTAAATAAAATCTCCAACTGTTGTGCGACAAAGATCTTGAATTTACGTAAGAAAACCAATTATAACCCATCTAATAATACGTTACTATAAAAACAACAGAATTAATTCGAGCGAAGGCGAACAAAAATAATTATCTTAATGCACAACGCGCGACAAAACATTCGGACACGTGACATGTGCTCTGTCACTCGTGTCAGCTTTCAGTTTCCTCGGCTGCCGGCTTTTGGCACGCTCAGTGTTTGCCCACAATACATACACACATTATTCTTTTGTTATATGTAGGTATTATATGATTCAAACTTAATATCAGCTCGCGGTTAGCCGAGAGCGAATTAAATAGGTAAAATTGTGTTCTGTGTTCTCGTTCAATATTCAGAGCCGTGATAAAGTTTGTGTAGCAGTATACTTACACTGGTGCAGTGCTCGAGGTCCGGGTTGGAGGCCAGCAGCAGCTTCAGTATGGCGACGTGACCTTTCTCCACCGCAGTGTATACAGGCGTCTTCTTGTCCTTGCCCGGCAAATCTACATCGACGTGTTTCTTTAGCAACGCTTCCACAATGTTCCTGTGACCTCCCTTCACCGCGTGGATCAACGGAGTGTCTTTCGAATGGTCCTGTAAAGAGAATAAAAAATAAACATTTCTATTTCAATATTTTAATTGTTTTTGGAAAGTTCTGATTCTACTTTACCTGAACATTGATGTAGGCCCCAGAATTAATGAGCGCCAATGCGATGTCGTAGTATCCCTCTTTGCAGGCTATCGCCAGAGCGGTGTAGCCGTCTTTGTCTAACGCGTTTACGTTCGGCTTATGTTCCAAAAGCATTTGTACGATTTCAAAATGGTTGCCTGCAATGTATATAAATAACATAAATAAAGATTACATTTTCCGAAAATAATAACGACGTAACGTGAAAATCTTTTAAGGTCTTTGAAGTGGACTTGTAGTATAAATACATAAATTATTGTTGTTCGTTTGATATGACAAGAGGTAAAGTGGTATTTCAAATGGTTAAAAATATTCATGAAAGGACCAGAAACTGTGCACATGTGTGGAGCGCGGTTACCTTGCGTGGCCTGCAGTAGCGGTGTCCAGCAGTACATGCCGGCGGTGTTGGCATCAGCGCCGGCTCGCAGCAAGGCGGCGGAGGAGGCTGCGTCGCCGGCACGCGCCGCCCACGTGAGGGCGGACGTCGCGTACTTGTCGCAAGAGTTGGCGCGCGCGCCCGCACTCAGCAGCCGCTGCACCACGCTGCTGTGGCGACGACCAGCCGCCCATACTAACGAACTAACCGTAAAAAGTTAAACAAGAATACTGAAATATATTTCACTTTTTAAAACCAAAAGCGGCAAATAGATTGCGATTGTAAGAATTCTTATTACTTCTATTACTAATTTAGTGCCACTGCGGCTGAGTTAAAAGGCCAGACAAGCACGTTGAATTGGTAGGTACAAATGTGTTATTCATTTGAGTTTGTTGTATGTCATTTGATTTAGGAAGAGCGCACCGTTTGATGAGGAGAAAATTGTAATCTCGCGATGCATAAAACATGCACAGTAGGATCAGACATTCATTCGAGATGTTCATTTGTTATTGAAAGTCCCCCACATATTTTGTACTGGTCGTAGACAGTCAGAATTAAACTCAGATATTTAAATACCAAGGTAATTAATACTCAGTTGTACATAACGTGTATTTTTAGTTTTTACAGAAATCTAATTACATTAGTAAATCAGTAAACTCTAAATATCTTCAAGGTGAACTTTTTTGTCGGTCAAAGTAAATGTACGAATGTTTTAGCTTTACACAGAAAATATTGTATATATCAGAAAAAAAAATATTTCTACATTAACCTTTTATCGAACAAAACTTTATGATTAAAAATGATCGAGAGGACATTTGTGTTGAACAAAATTATATAATATTTTTTAACTATATTGTTTTATTTATATTCATGTATAATATTACTTTCTGACACTAATTAATATGGGCACGGGAAAAAATGTTTAGTAGGTGTCGGAATAACAGGAATAGATTGTGCATGATGCATATCTATATGCATCATACTCTGTCAACGAGTCGCGTGCCAAGTGGGCTTGTAATGACCCTCATTAGTTAATTCATTTTTATCATATCCTAATTGCTTTGTAGTTAAAAGCATGAAGGTTTGCAATGCGTAATCCTAGTACGACAATACTCGACTTAAGCGATATCCAAACATCGTGCTGAACATTTTGCCACAGTTTTACTGCTATATTTCATAATATTAATAGAATAATTTATAGTAGTTTACCTATCTATTATAGATATTTTATTAGAATTGGCAGATTTGGCTCTAAAACGACTCAACTCCGCAATCATGTGACATTTGATAATAAACAAATTAGTTGGCGAATTCTGCAAGCCTTCGTCGTAATATTTTCAGTTGCATCTCATATTCCTTTGTTGTCATACCAAATGTGAGTAAAAACTTACTTGATGTTATAATTTCCATGGGCATGTACGTCTGCTCCTTTCTCCAATAACAGTCCCACTTCTTCATCGTGTCCCTTGTACGAAGCCCACATCAAAGGTGTCCATCCTCCCTGACAATGGATATAAGCAAATATATACAAGTTAAATGTTGTTGATATATACAAAATATTATCATCGTGTGATTAACTTTTTTAGCTGGACTTAAAAAGTATAAAAATGCGGACTTTTCGCGTTTTTTCATTCTTTCAAACATTATTTCAATTCTCGGTCGTTTCATGACCTTGAATTTGTAACCCCTTATCAATAAAAGTTCAGCTGCCAAAATGATTTTCTAAATATTGCACGACATTTATAAACTGATTGATTAACAAGGCGGTAACTAAATATTCTAGAAATTATTAGGGTTAGGTCATGGATGTCTCGTAGGTGTGACTAAATGTTTCTGGCAAAGCTTGCGATTATATACGTAAATATTTACCATCTCTGTTGTATAACCTAATACTTAAACAGATAATTAAACTATAAAAAAATAAAGAAAAAATCCTATTGATAAAAAAGACCCTTAATTCTGTCTATTAGGTACTTTTTAATGCAGTGATACAAAATGAACTTTAAAAGAAGTAGAAGAAGTTCATAAGACTTTATAAAGATTTAGGTGTGAGTCGCTGTTACACTGAAGTAGAGCATCCCGGTAGTTACTTTGGTGACGTATTTACGATCAATCATAATCCGTTACACTTTTATTTGACGCTAAAAAAATGTGTGGATAATAAACAACATAAATAATAGATTGATAACAACAGCTTTAATTTACATTGTTGCACGATATTAACTGATAAATAAGACACTTAAATTCATTTACTTCATTGAAAAGAAATTGAGGCGTAATGATTTAAAATTTTACATAGTAGACTAAATTAATAAAATGCATAATATTTTTCGATCATGTGGATTAATTCTTCTCATCTATAATCTTTTGGGATCTTATAGGATCCTACTGACGATTGCAGAAGTCTGTCATAAAAATAACGTGTTTACAATGTCTAGAAAGATGTTTTGTACGCTCATTAGAAGTGCAAAAGTGGATCGTCAGTCAATGTATCAGCTTGCGAGCGTCTGTCAGCGCCGCTGCAGATGAAAGCCGCCCTAACCTAAGCGGCGACTACGAGAAGCGCCAATAAAAGGAACTCTGCTATAAATACATTGTTTATGACAGGAGCTCTCTATGCGACAGTGCCGATGTGTATTTTAACCAGATTTAAGTATGCGTGGATGTCACTGACATCTTGGCAAGCCACCGCGTGAAGTATAAATATACATATTTTGGGTGCACATTCGTGAATACATTTTGGTCATTGCTCTATTAAATTTGGGTCACGTTGTTTGTACGCATCACAGTGTCAGTTTCAATATTGTAACGTGATAGGATATGAAAGCTTTAGAAATTAAACTAGATGCCTCTTTTCAAAGTCTAACTCTTGGTCTATACTAATTTGCTGACTTAAACGATACATCTTCAATCCTTCTGGCATATGGACAAATTTAGTAATACTTACGCAGTCCCTAGAGTCGACATGTGCGCCTGCATCGAGAAGCTCCCTCATGACGAGTAGATGACCGCCGCGCGCGGCGAACGCGAGCGACGTCCAGCCGTCCGCATCGGCTGCGCACACGTCTGCGCCAGCAGCGACCAGCACTCGCACCGCACCCACGCGGCCCTGCTCCGCCGCGCACATGAGCGCCGTCGTGCCATTCTAACATACATATATACACTGATTAAGTCACTAAAAAAAGAATAATTACTTTATACAAAAAGTCATAATCAGTGCATTGCATTAGCTTGCGAGTTATAAGTAAGAAGAGACAGAATTGCCATTTTTATTTAACAAAACGACTTCACAGATGAGTAATATCAAACATTTAAAAGATCGAATCTCAGCATATTGAACTATGAATAATATGGTAATCATACATATGTAATGTTTGAAGAAATGGCTATGCGGAAATGACTATTGAATAAAATGACGCAGTGACATCTGATTCTGTACCAAAAACATATTCTACGCTGCGGCGTCCAGTTCATTAATTAAATAGCTCGTCTGTATATTATTAGATAATAATTAATATTAATATATTGATACGAATGCCAAAATAAGATCCGTCTTTACTATTAAAACGGTATATCAATTTAATAGGTTTGTTTTAAATGTCGCATATTTATATTTAAGTTTACCTTATAATAGCACATTTCTTATATTCATCTTTCAGAACTTTATAAGTTGATAGATATTATATTTTCTGTAATATTAACTTCTTTAACCGTTATTTAAAACCATTTATTATTATTAGTAAATAGACTAAAATTATGATACGTTATGAACGTAAAAGTTGTTAGTCACAGTAATAAAAACTTTATTGCCGCGGACAAGAACAAAACGCTTCTTTCAACATATCCTGCATCTTTTCGCATTAAAATTAGTTCTTATAATACTTTTATCTTTAGATATTAAATTAAAATTGCTAATAAATGACATTTTAAAAGGAAAAATATAATAACGATGTGTAAACATATAATGTTTTCCTCTTACCAGATGTTTACGTGTTTATGTTAAAAGCTAAACATGTGCGTAGATGTTATTAAAATCAATTAGTCATCTATTACAAAGAATAAGGTCAAAATTTTTCCTACATTAATTCGCATAAGCCTTAGATTAGATAAACAATATTATACGACGCCATTTGGCATTTTTATTGATACTTATTTATATAGGTAAAACGCGAACATTTGAAATTCAAACTAAATTTCTTTAATGATTGTCAATTTAAATTTTTAAGAAGGCTAAAATATATTTTTGTCATGTTTCCTGATTTTTTTAAGGAATGTATAATAATAACTTTAGTTCCATAAATATCGAAAACATTGTTATTTTAATGTTCCTGAAAAATTTAACTATCATGATTTTTTCCAACATTATCGCGATTATTTTTTTTCTTTAAGATATTGATAATTTTATTTCAAGACCAATTAAAAAGTAAGAAAATATTTATCTTTTGTGTCAATTTAACTTAGCCAATTAACTTTACCCGTGAATAATGAATGCCGAGATTTGTTTACTTGCTATAGATAAGAGTTTATGATTATTAACCGTCTACCAAACATTTTATATTATTCCTATGACGTAATTTTCTCTTGTTTTAAGGTATTTATTTATGTATCGTGTGATAATTAAATTACGGGAATTACGTATAATTAATTCACATTATGTTTATATACTTTATCTTGTAATCTAGTTATTTTTTTTTTTAACTTTATTGTTTTAAATATGCCTACCACCAAGTTTTGTTATATTTTTGTCTATGATATTTGAGTCGTAAAATTATCGCAGGGACGCTCAAAAGAATATTGGCCCATTAATAACAGCAATAATTATTGTGTTTGTATTTTGTGTGTCAGTTACTAATCTAATTATAATATCTTACTAATCTTACTATCTCCCTAATATTATAAATGAGAATGTTTAGATGGATGGAAGGATAGATAGCTGGATGGATGGATGTTTGTTTGAAGTTTTTAAAATTTCGTATAGATGTAGAATATAGTCTGGAAGAACACATAGGTTAATAATTAAGTTTTTTAGTACCGCGTTAGACAGCTAGTTTTTATATATCAAAATCACTTATGCTAGTGTATAAAGGATAACGCAAAAATTAAAACAAAACTAGCTGTAAAATAAACGTATGATAGTGTAACCAACCATAATTATATCGACTAAATGATGCTTAATGACATACCTCGTCTTTATCGTCGATATTGATGTTCTTGTTGTTGGCGAGGTACTGCTGCAGCTCTGTGACGTCATCGTTGTTGACGAGTTGCGAGAGCGTCTTGAAGCACGCCAGCGAGACCATCGACTCGCTGCGATGAAGGCTCTGTCACCAATACACTTGTATGTTAGACATGAATTTGTAAAGCAGGAAAATCAACGATTTTTATTCAATGTTTTCAAGACACAAAATATAACTACACTTTAAATTATAATAGTCTTTTAATATCCAATAATTCACGCAATACATATTTTAATAAAATATAACACACTTCATGCACATTTAAATGCGTTAAGCGTCACTAAGATGCAGGAAAAGAATATAATATTATATGTTTACTATACACCTCGATCGAATGCAGCGTCCAGCGCTTCATTGTTTTTGTTATTAATATTTTGATAAAAGAATTATCGATAAGAAGGAAATGGATAGCTTAATTAACACACGCAAACGTTTGGTCGCACGCACAACAGCGATCATAATGAGAATTATTTTGTAGATATAATGATAACGGTATCACAAGGTAGCCAAATTCGTTACGCGAAAATTGTCTCAGCGGGCGAAAAAAGAAATCCAAATGAAAATTTTTATTGTATAGTAAAATTATATCAAACAGGTTCATAAAACACGTTTATTACTTTAATCCTGAAAGTATTATTTTAATTGCAAACGTAATCTAGTTTAAATATGTTTTTCTGTGCAGATTTGTCCTCGTAGAAACACGTGTTCTGGTCTTTTTATCCGTGCAAATGTGCACCTAGAGTAATTGGTCGACATGCAGTTGTGTTATTTTCATACAACATCCTTAATGTTAGTAACAAATAACAAACAATGCAGATATATGAAAATCACAAAATAGGTTATTTTAAAAGCCGTTTCACACTCGAACTATATCATCGCAGACCGTATTGGAGTGTCGACGGAGAGCGAAGCCATGGAAGGCGAAGCCGTGGCTGAAACGGCGGCCCTCGCCCGGCGGCGCGGTCACCGTGAAGCGCGGCACGCTGAAGTGCGGCCCCGCAGTCTGCGCGCCAGACGGCCCGCCCCAGCCCGGTCCCGGAAGATGCAGAAAGGACGGCCGCCGCTTCTTATGGTGCTGCAGCGCCGGCGGCGCCAACATCGGCCCCGCGAAGCTGTTGCTCTTCGTGCGCCGTTGCGGCGGCTCTTCTTCCGCTGCGTTCATCTCGGACACCTCAGATACTTCCGACCTCTCGGACACCGAGCCGCTGCGCTCCGTGTCCGAAGACCCCGGCGACTCCTCGACAGCCTCGAGCGGTACATCCACCTGCGCGAAGGGTGGCCTCGACACATTCTTAGGCCTATGAATGTTCGCTATGAGGCACCTAATGTGCACGTACTCGTTTTCGCTACCGGACGGCTTGGGTAGATTCGGCGGGAAAGACATAGCGTCCGCGATCCCCGCATGCTAAACGGCGCGAGCGCTCCGTAAGGCGTCCCGTGACAGATTTGTGAGCGTGATGCTAGGTGAGTAAGCGCGCGACGGGAAGCACGGCGCGTCTAGTGGGCGGGCGGCAGGGCGGGCGGCGCGGGCGGGCGCGATGAATGAAGTCGACGCATACGTACGAGCGAATAGGTGCTGTAGGTACGCAGAGACAAGCGCTTGAGCACAGTGGAGGCGGAGCGCAACGCGGCGCGTTCGGGGGGCAGCATGTTGCGCGGCGGCCACGCTCGGTGTGACGCCGCGGACGGCCGCCAGCCGCCAGAGCGGTCACTCTGCGCCCCGCCGCCCACTCATTAACTATTTTTTATATGTTCGCAGCGGATAATTTGTAATCAATGATGTTCATCTCTACTAGGACTATTAACGACATGTTCAATTTCTTTTGAGATGAGCCTCCTTTGGTTCCAAAAAATCAAAGAATTGCAAGTAACAAAGAAAACGAACAATTAAATATGTTTTTCTATTAACCTTGATACGATGAACTTGACGCACAAAATTTCATTGTTTTCATAAATATACATAAAATAATTATTAAAAGACAATTTTTTATTAAAAAAAAATAAAGGTCAGATGATGCATGCCTAGAACTTTAAGTCTTAATAAACGATGAATTCATTCTAATACAAGTGCGTACGCATAAGTGAAGTAATGACTACATTTTAAATAATCTAGTCTAGCAACGTGCTGTTTATAAGGCGCCTGTTGATTTGCCCACAATACGTAAGCGACCGGATCCGTCTATTTATAATGAAAATAACAAAAACGATTAGAGGTTAAGATCCACGGAGTGCGAGATATAAAAAGAAATAACGGGTTACAGGATTCCTTGCGACCAGCCGCGCAACCACTTCGCCTGTTGCATGTCTTCTTGGAACGCGTATCTTTAAGTTTTTTTAAATCATTTTTGCATATTTCTGTTAAGTTACAACTGCTAAATTCATATCTCAGCCTTTACTTAAACTAATAAATTCGATCTTTAACTAATTTGGAAAGACTATACTATATATTTAACAATACAAATAATTAAATCATTTAGTAATATATATTAATTAAATGACAACATTTTTATTACCGCTGAGAAATTTTTGAAACAAGAAATTGATAACCGCATTTAAACTTGAACATTTTGTTGCGTCCGGCGTTGAGCTAGTGTGAATTTAAATTTGGTAATTTACTTTGTAAAAATATTTTTGTAGCTTGCAGATAATACCATAGAAAAGTGCAAAAAGATCATTTTTAATCACCACATTACCGCGGCTGACGGCCAACCTCCATTAAATGGAGAGGCACCTTGAAAGAGAAAGAGACATAACCGCAAAAATTTCAGTAATAAAAAATACCTATTGCAATAATATGAATATTTGATATTAATATTTGAAATTGAATTACCTGACCATAAGTCCTAATGAAAGACGCCGCCCGAAGCATTTCAATACCTCAACTCAAATAATGCTAATTCAAACATAAAAACATTTATGTAATAAAAACTAGAACTAAATATCACATTACACGTGTTACACTCGATGTCTATTGGCGATTCAACGGCCATATGAGCGTACTTATAGGCGATTATGTTATGTAAAGGATTAACTTCTGGATTTATGCAGTATAGTCAAAGTTTAAACAAAACTGATAACGTTACCTTTATTGCATCTTAATTTACACATGCTCTATAATATATGAGGTATTAAGCAGTAGTTTACAATGGTTAATGTTGATACAATAATTTCATAGCAAGGTCCTATAAATAACTAGAAAATTCCCAAATAAATTAAACAAGCAAAATTTAAAAGGCAGTGTCATTTTGGCAGAATTAAAAGTAACAATTTTCCTAAATTAAACAAAATACTAATATTATAAATGCGAATGATTGGACGTATGGATGGATTAGTGGGTGTTTATTAGAAGGTATCTTAAGAACGGCTGCAGGGATCACGCTGAAATTTGGGTTATATGTAGAAACATAACATAGAAGAACACATAAGTTATTAAATTCTTTGTTTGGTAAATAATTTACTTCATATATTTACGTTAATTCTTAGATGATATCAATGAATGGGTGAACATTTATAAACTAATTTGAATTAGATGCATTGGTATTTAGAGCAGCATTCAGCGGCCAATCGGCCAATCTTTTCTATGCTAGCAGGGGACGGTAACTCTGCCAACGGAACGTCAATAAACAAATCACGATAACACAATGAATGAGTATCGAGTTAGTGACTGATTCGATACTCAAATTGATACGGTATCGATATGTTATCGAGTATATTTTGTTTGATAATATTTCATATCTATAATCGTCTACTAATAATTGTCCCTGTTATCATTTAGTAAACGTAAAACTTTGTGTGAAGACAAGTTACAATTATGAATTTAATAAATGCTGTAAAGTCTTGAGTGTGGTTAGTTTCATTTAGCATTACATCCTAAATGCATGGTAGATCGTAATTTATTTTGTCAGTATAAGAAAATATACATTATTAATAGCTTTAAACTTTAGTATCTATAAATAATAACATCGTCATTAAAATTACGTTGTGAATATAAACTGTTAATATAATAAATATATTTAAAAATATCTCGCAATTGAATTCTCCATACGTAAGTATGATATAAGCATGTTAAGTTAACAAGCTGTGCTGGCGCCAGCTATAAATGGAAACCGGCCAACGGAATAAGTTGTTCTACAATTTCACCTATCATCAAAGTTTCTACGAACGCACCATCCGTTTTTGCTACGTCAACTGGAAAATATAAGATACATGTAGTCGTTAGAATAAAAACCGTACGTAGACATATTTTTCATATATTTTTAATTATAATCCAATTTAATTAACATAATTAACATTTTTTTATTTATAATTAATGTGACATTTAGCAATAAATGTACATAGCATAATGAAAAATGTGTCCAAAATAAACTGTTCAAATAATGACCTTGACATTTTGAAGATAAGATAAACAAGATACCTCACACAAAGCTGGTTCTCTAAACGTATCCTTGACGAATTTGTAATATGGGAAGACGCTTCCATAGCTTCTCGGTACACGGAGACCTAGCACTAAGGGTCGGCGCTCGGCTGACGACCGGGAGGGACCTGCCTCCTCGGACCACATCACAATACACTTCTAACAAAAACATTTACAACACACATCCAAACTAATAACACATTCACTTTATTATCTTCCATAATTTGTTACGAGGGTAGATTTATAAATTAAATTGAATTGACATCGCGGGGCAGTGGACTCAGGAGGTGGGTCCTGACAAGTAACACGCGGCAGACTGAGCCTCGTGGTATTGATAAGGATTGATAGGAGAAATAAACATTGTTGAAATATATAGAAGTATTTATCTGACTTATCGGTTTGTTTGTACAATGTTCAGGACTTGCTTATTTACGTTCGTATATTTACTTTTCAATAGATAAAGCTGGCGAAGGAAGTTATTGAGACTGCATTATTTGATTGTGTTCGCACATGACATACATGCAAGTATAAAAATAAACATTTGCGATAGTATAAGTTTATAAAATAATCGGAGAGAAATTGTAGTTATCTTGTTTCGTAGGACATTATTGCTAACATGTAGCCAACAAAAACATTCATATTATTTAAGAATAATATGGGTAAAAATTGACTCAATTACTAGTCAAAAAGTTATTTACAGTAGACTAGTTTAAAAAAGTCTGTAAAAATGAAATTATTTAAAAAAATAAAATAAACAGTTTTGTAATTTCCGTTTTTTTATGAAATTTATTAAAAATATGTTTTTATATTTATTAATTCATAATAAACAGTTACAATAAGGTTTTATTACAGTGAAATTAGAAGACAACTAATATCATTTAAAGCGCCATCTTGTGGTAAGCTTAGATATTAACGTAAGAACAAGTGTCCAAGTAGCGTTTAGACATTTTAGGTAGTTTTACCAAGTGTTATCAAAGATGGCGCTGTAAACATATAGTTTCATAAATTGACAGATTTCAAGATAACATTTATGTTTCATTTTCTTTAATATTTTCCAAGTCGGAATTATAACAAAGTTTATGAAACATAGTGTATTATGAGATTTTTTTATATATTGCGATAATTCAATCCGCATTGTAATTAAAGGTTTTTGGCATAGGTATAGGTTTATTGCCAGCATGCTACTGTGTAATGCGTGATGTTGGCAACCACCGCTAATGACTTTATCACGGTTCAATTTCGTCAATTGAATGTCAAGTGAAAAAAACTATAAAATCGCTTAAATGACCTCGACCGAGAGACAAACAAAAACGGAAAAAAAATTCAAGGTGTGGAATTTTTTAAACCACCAATGATCGCAAAGCTTTTTTGTTTAATTTATCAATGAATTAAAATATTCGGAATAATGAACTAATGTTTAAACGAAATTATAAAACTATATTTAAACGGAGTGTTGGTATTAGCTAGTTTCAAACACGTGTCGGAAAAATATAGCAAATATTATCCTAGCTAATGGCTGGTGTCATTTGCTATTGGCGTTGATATTTGTTACACAGTCATAGTGCTTGACTTCACAACCTACGTGTTTCCATTTTACAGCTAAACGGCAAAACACATTATTAAATCTAAGTGTAAGGTTAGGTATAAAACTAAGATATTGCTTGCATATAACTCTTACTCTCTATAGCACAATTAAAACACAATATCTTATTATTTGCATGAAAGGTAATTTCATTATAAAGGTGTATTGAAATGCTAATGTGACTTAGTGGAATGAGAGATCTTAGTAATATTATAAATGCGAATGTTTGGATGTATGGATGGATGGATTTTTCTTGAAATTTGGAATACTCTATGATGAAATGTTGCATATCTGTAGAAAATATAGACTAATTCAGTATACTTTTTAATTCCGCGAGGACGTAGTCGGAGGTAATAGCTATCGGAGGTAAATAAATTATAAAGGACTACAGGAAAATGATAAACTTAAGTATTATTACTGCGTTGCGATTGTAAAAGCTAGGATAAAAGAAACTATATTGCACAATAACTATTGTAATGGGTCATTTGCAGTGATAGTCTGAGGCAAGTCACTATCACATTTCCAACGTGCCTGCATATCTTTGTTGTAAAG